GAACGCCTCACATGCTGCTCCTGTAGATGCTACATTTTACCGATGGTCCCTGAACGCCTCACATGCTGCTCCGGTAGATGCTAGCAGGTGCGCTGTGCTTTCCTTTTGACGCTGATTTACAGATCAGTTGTTTATGATTAGAAAAGCCACACTTTATTACAGCAGAGTTTGCTGACATCTTTCCCAGGGAGCAGACTGGAGGGCCTGTGCAGAGGGGCGGGGCGACAGGCCACAGCCCGTAAAAAAAATAATCCAAATTAAAAATCTGTTAAACTATTGGCTACGTTTGAAGCGGGGAGTTTTGCATCCAATAACAACAAAGCTATGACTAAACAAATGAAACAGTTCAGAGGCAGCGTAGTCCTTGCAGCCGTGGCCTCGGCTGGTCTCGCAGTGAAATCCCGAGTCCTCTATGGCCGAGACCGAGACAATACCGAGTAAAAATGCGGTCGAGTCCAAGACAAGACCGAGATCTTCAAAAAGTGGTCTCGAGACCGATCTCGAGCACTACAACACTACTTGACAGTAATTTCACAAATGTGTCAGTGGGGTGAGGAAAATGTATTTCATTTTGTTTTATCTCGCACAAAAATCTATAAACTACACAAGATTAAAACTCTACGGTTGAAGTAAAAAATGTCAGAAATTCAAGTAGAACATGCTTAAAACTGGATCATCTCACATTTATCTCCTGAAGTGTAAAAACCAAAACCAGATGAAGACAAAATGAGACCAGTTGCAGACAGTCACGACCAGTGTTCACCAGTAGATGTCAGTTCAGAGTGAGTAGAAAATAAAGCGACAGAGACGGGGACTTTTCGAACTGGCGTAAAGATTCAAGGTGGTGCTACTGTTTGCTGTGCGCTGACCAGGACTGTTGATGGCAGCATAAAGTGAAGTTGTTCTCTCTGACCTGCAGACAGCTCCAACCCCTTCACCCTGAAGCTCTGCTTCTCCACCTCCTCCCACCTGTGACCTAGAAACAAGATGGCCGCCCCGGGCTCCCAGCGACACACCACAGCGAGTCTGTTCATCACAAAAACAGGAAAAGAAGCACTATATATTGAAGTTTTCCTGACGAGGGGTCTGAATTTGATTGGGTGTTTTTGTTGTTGTTGTTGTTGTTTTTTTATGTTTCACGATGAGACGATGAGCTTGAAGAAGAAAAGCTCGTTAGTATCTTAAAGACTACATGAGTGATGACTGAGCCAGATATAGGATACAACGCATAGCTTCCAGCAGAATGTCCCTCTGGATTAGTACCTGCTGGTTCCTGCTCAGTGGGGGAACTACTGAAGAAAACATGTGTAAGAACTCCTTCTGTTACAGACGAACATTTAAAAAAGTTTGACGTTTGAAAAAGAGGTAAGAACCCTGTTTTTATTCTGTGATTAAAGAGGAAACGTGAGAACAGTTGACACCTGATATTAGAGCCCACACACCTGATGATCACTGTCTAATTAAATGATTTCAGTAATGATGACTGTGTTCCTCGTCAAACATTTAGACTGTAAAACTTAAACACAACACGAGTGAACCTTCATCATTTCATGTCCTCTAAGGCCCTGGACGCTGTCTCTAATAAACATGGCATGCTGTGTGAACTCTGGTTTGTTCTTGGACTAAATGACATCAGCAGATGTTTGAACTGATTCAGTTCTGTGGAAACATCGTCTTGTTTATTGGATTTAAATGTGGACATTTATTGAACCCTTTCAGTAGTTCTGTCGTCTTAAACATCAACTAATCACCATTAGTTTAGTGTGCTGGTTGTACTTGTGTAGAGACGTAATTCGGTGAGCGGCGTGAACTCTCAGCACTTCATTCAGTCAAGTTAGAAAAACTCAAGACGTCTGAATTAACTTGAAATGAATTAAACATGTCGTGTATTTACTCTGGATCAGCTGCTGGGTTGGAAATTCACTTTATCTTTAAAACATTGCCAAAGTTACACCATTTATCAGAGCAAGGAACGGTAACAACAAACAAATCGGACTTCTTGGTCGTCGGTGAAGTCATCATGTGTGACTGAAGGTTCCATTTAGCAGCTGAACCAGTGGGCTGTGGTCCTGTAGCACCATCATCACTCCTTCTAGCCGTGGTCGGGCTGTTTCTATACAAGTGCAGGACTTCATATTGCAGTAAAAAATGAGCCAACAGCAGGAAAAACGAGAACAAAAACCTCCCAGTGGCTGTATGTCAGAGGGTTTACCAGTCAGAGACCAGTCCGTTAACTGGACTGTAATTCCACTTCAGTTCTGTAAAACTCTTGTTTGATGTTTCACAGCTGTGTGGACTTCTCTTTACTCCAAATGATGAAGTGAAACAGAGCGCTTAATAACAAACCTCTGTAGTGTGGCTCTGCCTGCCATCTTTTATGTTCCATTTTCTCCTTAGTGTTTGTGAATAGCTGAAATTCACCATGTATATGTATATATATATATATATACATATACATGTGTGTGTAAGGTCTGAGGGTTTTATTATGATGTGTGGCTTTCTCCTCTGTTCACCCTTTAATTACAAATTAAGAAAATGCTGAACACCGTTTGTTTGAGTTGAAGTTTCTTTAAAATGCTGTTGGTCCGTGTTTTTTTCTGACAGTCTTCGTCCAATGCAGCTGTTTAAGTGGCACCAGACGAGCAGTAAAAAGTGGAACAACCAGCGATAAAACAGCTGTATGTAAATAAAGACTGAGGCAGAATGAAGCCGTGTGTTAGACAGCGATGTGTGTGTGTTTACTGAACAAAACTCAGGGAGGAATAACTAGAAACTGACCAGAAATCAGACAGGAAGAGAGATTATATTATGGTTCAGAACATTTTGGATGTGTTTTTTTTTTGTTTTTGTTTCTTTTACTTTGTTTTTTAAAACTTTGCTTCTCAGAATCCTGTGACTGATTATTCTAACTTAATTTTTTATGTAATTAAAGGTCACCAATAAAGGCAAAGACAGACATGTGTTGGGTCTGTGTTCGTTGCTTCAAACGTCGTTTCTGTGTCCCCTGCTGCCGTCAGACCTTCTCCGAGTCACTTTTTAAATCAATTTGCTTAAATCTTGGTTTATTGAGAAACTGGCCTCAGATATAACTTAAGTTTCCAGTTTTTCTGGACATTAAGTCCAGTATTATTAACTTTACACAGGATCTGCATTTTGAGGATAAACATATTAAATCAGTTGATGTTTGAACTGTGATTATTCTTCAAGCTTCAGCCACATTTTGTTTGGTTCTTTGACTGTAGCTGTGGTTCTGTTGTTGTCGTTGTAACAGTGAAGAACATGGAGTTGAGCATCTGTTGGTCCTTGTGGTGTCAGAAACATGCCATAAGGAGAACATTTGACATGTTATTGATATGGGGCTGAACAATACACAGAAAATAAGAAAAAATAATCATACTGCAGTTCTGACACGTTGAGGTGTGTCGGTTTTTTTGAGATAGATGTAAGTAACTCCAGTGTTAGTTATTCAGTAGTTACTGAATGTTGTTGTTATTCTCATTCATTAGTTCATGTGCTAACGTGAACCTGTCATGTATTCATGTTTTATGTTTTAATTTCGTTATTTAGTGTAAAATGGAAGTGCTTGTATTTTTGAAGGGACATCAGACGGAAAATACAGAAATTGAAAAAATGTAAACTGACGGTAGAATGAACGGCGACCAGGGCTGCAGGTGTCTCGGTGGTTAGCACCGTTAGCACCTCACGGCTAGAAGGTCGCTGGTCGGCGTCCCGGTGAGGACACCCGGGATCTTTCTGCGTGGAGTCTCCATGTTCTCCCCGTGCAGCGTGGGTTCTCTCGAGCTGTAATCGTCATGGAGATTGCAGCAACCGGCGGTGCAGCTGCCAGAAGAACCGGGTCGCCAGCATCTGGGCCTGTGGAGTCTGTAAAGGCATCACATGCAGAAACTGCAGTCATGACGTTGTTGAGTCAGAAGAAGACGTAGACGATGACTCTAGAAGTGTTGTATGAGGATGTGAAATAAAAGCTGCTGTGGATGTAAATGTAAAGTGGGTGTGGCCTTTATCAACAGTGGAGTGTTTGTGGTGAAATATAAATGTTAACGATCAGCTCAGAGTCATGAACACACCCTGATCTGACCTCATAAGTTACTGAAGGCCGATTTTTAAAAAATCTATTTTTCATCAGTCATTTATCGGTACCCTAACTTGAGCAGGTTTTTTTTTAGGGTTTTCTATGGGAATTGAACTTCAACATTTTCAAACTTGTTATGACACCTTCACACACATATTGGTAAAGAAATGGTTTGGTAACGATTTAGTTGGCGGATTTGTGAAGAATCTCCTAAAATGCCCTGACTACATGGCTGTCATGTGTCAGAGAGTCTGGCTGACGGTCAGCTGACGAATCTGGGTCGTATGTGATGTTTACTTTGTTTGTTTGTGTGTGTGTTATCTGCACTTTTTGTTTTTGTTTTTGAATGAATGCAGTGCTATGCTTCGCCCAGGAGAACCTTTAGTGATGTTGAGATGAAGCCTCAAGAGGCACTGAACCACTTGAGCCAACTGGTTCGAGAAAGGGTTTCTTTTGCTTGCTCATGTGCACATGAAACCACCTAGTGGCCAGGTGTATAATCACAGCCAGCTGGATCTTAACACGTGTGATGCATTGAAGTTGTGTGTCTGTTATGGCTCTTGGGAATGACTATGAATTATGGGAAGTGTATGACCAAATCATTTTTCTGCATAAATGATCACATATGTGTGTGACAAAACATAGTTTGAAAGTGTTCTCTGGGTGTCGTTTTTCCCAAAATAGTATCACGTGATATGTCATGTTGTGGTATAATGTTTTTCTGTCACTTAAGGAAAACAGCATGGACTGAATCAGGCAGAGGACAGTGCTGGTGGGACTAGGAAGGGGGCGCTGAATACACTTGTGTAACTTGAACAATGATGCACAGAAGAGGGGAGAGTTTATGCATTTTTATTCAGCGTATCCAACATCATCCATAATGCTGAGAGGCTAGGTATCCTTCACCATCATGGAGACGAGGGCTTCATCCAGCTCTTGTTTTCTGGTGGCTGATTAAAAGAGAATAAACAGTTTAAATGTGCCAACACCTGACGTCTCCCCTCTTTTTGCCATAACCTGTTGCCGGCTTGTGACACCTTACTAGGACTTATCAAATCAAAATGCTCCCACATAGGGGAAATCCTCCTCTTCCTAGCTGGCTCAAAAACCCACATTTTGAATGGAGCCTGTGGGGTTTATAATGCTACCAAACCCCGCGCCAAAGTCTGAACCACTTCCCAAAGCAGTCATGTGGTACAGCCGGGCAGCAGGGCTACGGACCTCATTGTTTTTGGCTCCTCCCTGTCGGAGCAGATCCCAATCTACCAGAAATCAAACTGTGTGAGATCGCTCCTGTGCGTTCGTTTAATGAATGATTCGTTTAGTGAACTTTCCCTGTTCTTTTAACTCTTGGTATTTATGTTCATATTTCTCTTTGAGCTGTTTTTGATCTTTGGGTTTCGTTCCGCTCTTTAATTGCTTCAAGGCTGCCTCCCACTGCTGTCTCACAGTTTCTACGGGGGGCATCCTCCTTGGTCTGCCCTATCAAACTCACCCTCCATGATCTTCCCATCCATCCATCCATCCATCCATCCATCCATCCATCCACCCATCCATCCATCCACCCATCCACCCATCCATCCATCCATCCACCCATCCATCCATCCACCCATCCATCCACCCATCCATCCATCCATCCATCCATCCATCCATCCATCCATCCATCCATCCATCCATCCATTGTCTTCCGCTTATCCGGGGTAGGGTCGCAGGGACAGTAGGCGGAGCAGGTCGTTCCAGACTTCCCTCCCCCCCGGCAACGCTTTCCAGCTCTCTTTCCGGTCCCCCCTTTTTGAAAATGGGAACCACTAACCCGGTCTGCCACGGAGCCCCAAGGCGGGGCCACCAGACGTTCCCCGGCGAGCCCTCCCCCCCAGGCCTGGCTCCAGGGGGGTGCCCTGGTTTCCCTCTTCCAGGCAAGGTGGTGGTACTCCTTCTACTGTTCTTCATCAAGGTCTTCTGAATCGCTCTTTGTCTGATCTTCCCCAATTCTGTATTTTTTTTCTTCTCCCTCGTGTTTGTGTAATACTTACCTCCTGCCCCGTAGTAGCCAACTGGTTTGAATGGAGTTCACCGAGCAACCAGTCCAATCAGATTCAGTTTTTCAGAAGTCGGTGGAGACCACCACAAAGGCTTCACCTCACTCTGCTTCTGTTATCACCGTTAGGTTTCCACAGAGATCAGTATTACCGTTTAACTCCTGTCTTTCTGATCTGAGACACTACCAATAACTACCTCCTACAGCACCGTTGTAAACATCCATGAACATATATTTTTCACTCTTTATTCAACAACGTTTATTTTGTCACTCCTTTTATGCTTTTATTTCATTTGTCTGTTTGATGTCTTTGTTTGTAGTTGTTTTAGGCTGAACCACTTCCTAGGGAATTCCAGCCTACATGTCTGTGTAGTGGGGCTCCAACCTCTGCTCTGTGAATTTTAGAGGATTCTGACCCTCAGGGCCTTCAAACCCAGTTTTTTTGGTCCCTGTCGAGACCCGGGGCCTCCAAACCCAGCAGCTGTGTTTTGTTTTGTTTTTTGTCTTTTTGTTGTTGTTTTTTTTACACAACTGGGAGCGGTCTCTGTTTTAGGAACCTCTGTTCCAGGGCATTGTAACCCACCGCTATTTCTCTCACTAAAGTATAGTTAAAAAAAACGCACTACTCAGTTGTCGTTTTAGACCAGAACACACACACACACACACACAC